ATGGTGAGCTGGCGTCAGCCGCCGTGGCATGGTGAGGTGGCCTCAGCCGCAGGCATGTGCTGAGACAGATTAGTTGAGGTGCATTGCAATGGTCAGAACAGAAGCTAAACCGTACACGATGTTATACGGCCCGGTGCTGTGCGGCAGAAAATTGTCGAACTCATCAGTGTGCGCAAGAGCACACCGACATCATCGTTTGATATGGATGCAGTCGGTGCGTACCGACGATATGTCTTAGCTTCAAGCCTAAATGCTCACTCTTTTAAGAATTTCCAGGCATATCAAGCCGTGGAAGAAAATTCAACAAACTGTGAATGGTTGGGAATAAGGCTTTGGGGTGAGATATCTAGTAACTTTCCTTGACCCTTGTACCACCGACGTGCGAAGCTAGCTACCACAAAACTATAGTACTGTGACGCAGGGTCAGAAAATGGCCCATTCTAATCGCGTCGCAAGCTTCGTTGTCCCAGCCCTTCCTGAATATAATTGGCGCATTACAGCTTCGGATTCCGAAATGAAGGCGATCGTCTGCATTGTGCTGGCTCTGTCAGCCGCCGTGGCTGCCAATGAAGGCTTCTATCCTTACTCGGTCCAGCGGACGCCCGACGCCTTCGACAACTACAATCGCAACCACTACCAGCCGGTCAAGCATAGCGGGTGAGTCACTTTGTGCACTGTCACACTTCGGTGCCTAATTTATCGTCGCAGGGTTATCGGAAATACGACCGCTGTTGCTGAGCATCTCATGACAGAATGTGCTTTTAAATGGTATTACCGTGCCTTCTCGGAGGTGCATTGTGGTGGAGGTGTCGGCGTTACTCCACCTCCGATGTGGACGCGCATCTCGGGCGACATGTGTTGGGCGATAACGTCTGTGTAATGGTCGAGATGCATACAAGAGTATTAAAGTAGTGTGGGTGAGATACAAAATGGAGGTACATCGCCGCGGAGATGAAATAGCAACACACCAGTACCACCGCCATCTGTTGCCAGACAGGAAAGCATTCAGAGATCTGTATCAAGAGCATGCTAGAATTACGTGTTCCGTTTCGAAATGGCTTTAGTGATCGACACCTCAAACTTCTTCAGTAGCTAAAGAGCAAAATGCTGAACAAGGCATATCCATCTAGCGAGCAATCGATGTAGTTCAATTTAAATGAGCTAATTTATGAGATCGAAGTTGAGTTGCAAATAAAATGATAGGTTACCAAGAATTGTTCGCAACCAAAAGGCCCCCGTAAGAAATGGGTATCACTGGCGCGGTAATACGATAACACGTCTGGGTCGTTTCAGCTTGTGGGACCGCCTGTTTGGAGCTAACCGGCGCCAGGGAATCCTCGAAGGCCTGGGAGGAATTGGTGGTCCCGGTGAGACACCGCTTATCCTCGTTTAAACGGAGGCATTGTATATACTAGTAACTCTGCTAGCAACTTTGTATGGTGAAGTTTGTTACTCCTGCTAACAGCGATGGAAGGTGCAGGAAGCAACACTATGACGCAGACCGCACAACGGTACGTTGCGCGGTTGCAGAGCCGCTTTTTGTAGAAGTGCACGCCCGAACTCTTTGACCTCTGGTCCTTTCACTGCGGGCCTGTTGCAATAGCGGATGGCCGTTTCGGTGATCCCGCTGTCGGTGTTGGCAGTCGCCGTGGTTGGGGTCGTGGTCGCCGGCATCATAGCCGCCACTGGACTCGCCGTCGTCATCGCCAACATCAACTCATCCGGCCGAGGTCTGGACACAGACGACTGGGAGGACAGCCAGTCGGTTTGGATGGACCAGCTGGTGCGGGACTTCGAGGACTCCTGGCAGACTGCGGAGTAGGCCCCAGACATCTGGCAGTTGGGCACGCCACTTCAAGAGCTTGGCAGCACTTAAGTTTCCGTGTTCATGCGGGCGGCATCCACCATGCTGTCCACCTTGCTAGCATGCACGGATGCGTATTGAAGTCAATCTTGGATGTCTTCCCTTACTGTTGACACCAAAACTGTTGCATGTTAGTTACCAGACGCGCCAAATGACTTCTGCCATTCATGTGGTATTAATGATTTGAAATGGGCTGTTTCCTCTTGCTGTTACATAAGAAGGTGCTTATCACTTTGGCCGGTTTCTGCCGAACAATTGATTACTGCTTGCTTTGTGCGTTGTTATTTGATTTCGCCAGTTCGTTTTTGTTATTTTTGGCGACTATGAGCAATTATTACCCCTGCGATGAAATGCAAGGAACTCGTTGTTACGCCTGTGGTGTTGATAATTATTCATGTCAACTGTTGTGAACACGTTCATCATGTGAAATACATTCCCATGAATGTCTCACTGGTACTGCACCAATTGATAAATCACCTTGATCTGTTTAGGGGCATTCTAGCCGAGCATGAATGAAAAAGACAGCGTTCTGGAGAACGAACGTTTGCGGAGATCCTGCACACCATTAGGGCAACATGGGGTTCACAGGTGGCAGTTAATGCAGCATGGTGCAACATCGGCTCATAATGTATAAATGCTACAAAGGGTAGATCAAAACGCGACCCTCGAGACATCAGAATCACTGCATAACTGCAAGCTTTGTGCGAGCGAAAACCATAACCGGCGACTTGAAACATGGTTTGAACGCTTCTTCCCGTAATACTCGCTTAGAAAAAGTTTGCTTGTCATTGTCTTGAGCACTGATGTCGTTTGGCAAGTTGATTCCCAATCTTCTACATATTATGATTAGGAAAACCTTTTGGCGTATCCACCTGTGCTCCGGGTTGTCTGCAGCGCAGCACCGTGCATCTGGGGTGAGGATGTGAAGCTACGGCTATTGCTCATTCTTGTTATTTTATTTGCCGTCTAAATATATTCAGAGCATCTGCATGACTAAAGGCCACACAGCTAATGCAATGAGCTCAGTGCAAAGGAAACCAAAAACCTGGTTCTCAGGGGCGTCACTTTGTATATTTTCGAGAGGCCTGGCCCTCCCCTCACCGACTTGAGCCCATCAATACTCTTCCGTCCCACCCTTTCCAATGTATAGGAGCAAAAAATGGAACGCTGTGCTAAAGAAATGTTGCGAATGTCTCTGAACTTCTGTTGTATTTGTGAAATTTTTCTGTACGCTAGACGCTGAAACACAACACCACCAACATCATGTTCATTCTGTGGCAAATAGCAAATGTACGGCCGTCCCACAAGGCACTACATTCCGTCTGATAGTCCAATTTGTTGGAGCGTCTGTCTTCCTCTTCGTCTTCCTGTGGCAGGGTGGGTTCGAGAGACGTATCGATGAGAAAATTTACTTAAAAGGCTAATCGTGTTTTCTAGAGCAGTCTTTTCCATTTCTAGAGTAGCCATTTCCAAATTTCCTGATATAACAGCTGTCAATTGGCTCTCAGTCAATGTCGTGCAAGATACCATAACGCAATCAAACAATGACATGTTGAGAAACATAACTACCAAACAGCGAAATTGCGTTGTCCAGAGCAATCTCTTATTTAAACGTATACCAGAAGTTACAAGTGAGCTTATGTCATTAAATTTGATGCACGCTTCAATACCTTACTTGGTGGGGCATTCTCTCTGAAGGGAGTGTTCCACATTTTTATAGGGTGTTAAACTGAAATAGCCATCTTGAAGATCATTCTGTACAGTTCACAGCCCCGCCCTTCTAACACGTATGCCCCTCAAGATTCTTAACTACACGCCCGCCAAGATGTGCAGACTTGTTCGAGTAGACTATTTCGGCGTCACCCAGGCATCCATGACGCCATAATAACGTCATTCCAATGCTGCCACTCCGCTGCGCATACAGCGATCAGCACAAATTTTGCGTTTCTACATGCGTCTTTGGGCAACCAACATAAACGACGTGAAAAATAATGCTGACGAATCCCGGTTAGTTCGTCAGATTTCATGACGTTTGTGGCGCAGAAACGACACATTAATAAACGCGTTTTGATACACATGGTTGGCTTGGGCATCACGGCGGTACGTGCCATTGCAGTCTGGTCATGCTCGCAGAGGTAATGTTTGGGCGTTGTTGGCTAGATTTTGCCTGTTTTTACTTAACTATTGTGCTTTATAACACACTTGCATGAATAATGAGCTTAATCGCATGGAATTATGAGCTCTTACGCAGTAGCTTTCCTCATATGCAGTTAAGAAGCTAGGGGGCTGCTGGGTTGCTAGTGAACTTCGAAAAGAAGTGTACTAAGATCAGTGACGAAAAGTGATGCATAAATTTATGAACCGAGATCATTAGCACACATAATGTTCACATGCAAGCTGCAAAAAAAAAGATTATGTCCACTGCATTGGACGCTTAAGGGGTGTCAATTTTTGCAAATTATGGGGGGCAAACCAAAAGCAAACCGACGTCCGGATGTAGCCCACTTTATTTGTATTTAGCGCTATATTTGTGTTTAATATTTGTATAATCTATAAAAGTATTTGATTTCAGCAGTATAGAAGTCATGCAGGACTAGATCTAGGGAGTAAGCACTAGATGCACGCGTCTCTTCTGATCGGCACATGCAGGTGACCCTTTAGAGGTCACTGTAGTGCGCCGATGGCGCACTTCTATGGCGGTCATTGGAGGTGGCACGAATTTGTGTTATTGGCGACGGGGTTAGCCACGAAGGACTTCGAGAATCCCCATATTCCACGGCTTTTCACTTTAACTTCACAAACCATTGCGTGTCTTATGACGCTATATATGTGAAGTTCATTGCACCGTTTATCCGCTCAGCTGTTACGATTTGTACCTCGTGGTGAGAGCAGCCATGACTATTCAGTATGAGTGGTACGAGACGCCACTACGCGGAAGGATCAAAGGAAATAGGTTATGTTGTGATCGTCTTTCACCCACATTTTTTTTGTAGCATTCCGGCCAAAACCATTGGGAGACAAGTCACCATTGGGGGCCCAACTCAACACTGGGAGGAGGTGGGGGGGGGGGGGGGGGGAAGGGCCAGGACCCGCACAAAAGAATAGAAATCGACACCCGTGCGGTGCAGTACCAGTGAGACATTCATGGAAATGTATTTCACATGATGGACGTTTTCATAACAGATCACATCGGTAATTATCAATACCACAGGCGTAACAACAAGCTCCTTGCGTCTTTTCGCAGAGTTAAGAATTGCTTATAACCGCAAAAAATAACAACAACGAACTGGCGAAACCAAATAACAACGCACAAAACAAGCAGTAATTAATTGTTCGGTAGAAATCGGCCAAAATGACAAGCACCTTCCTACGTAACAGTAAGAGGAAAAAGCCCATGTCACATCATTAATACCACGTGAATGGCCGAAGTAATTTGATGCGGTCCGGTAAATGCCATGTAACAGTTCTTGTGTCAACAGGAGGGGAAAACATCCAAGCTTGACTTCAAAACCCATCCGTCCGTGCTAGCGGCGTCACAATGGTGGGATCGCGCGTGGGAGGGGGCGGAGGAGGCGCATCGCAAACATCTAGAAAGCACCTTTCAAAAACGTTGGAAGCTACGGCTCACAGCCGCAGCAGGAGCCCAGATGAACTGTCTGAAGGGGGGGAGGATGCATTAAACTGCGGAGCGAATTAAGCGAGCTTCTCTGGTCCAGTTCATGATCAGCTTTCAGACGAGAACACAAGAACATTCGAGGCTGGGTTACGTTATGCAGTCCGCCAAGCAAGATGAACACCGCCCGGATGAACACGAAAACTAAAGTGCTGATGGGCTCTTGAAATGGCGTGCCCAGTTGCTAGATGTCTGAGGATTACTCCGTAGTCTGCCAGGAGTCCTCGAAGTCCCGCACCAGCTGGTCCATCCAAACCGACTGGCTGTCCTCCCAGTCGTCCGTGTCCAGACCTCGGCCGGATGAGTTGATGTTGGCGATGACGAAGGCGAGTCCAGTGGCGGCTATGATACCGGCGACCACGACCCCAACCACGGCGACTGCCAACACCGACAGCGGGATCACCGAAACGGCCATCCGCTATTGCAACAGGCCCGCAGTGAAAGGACCAGAGGTCAAAGAGTTCGGGCGTGCACTTCTACAAAAAGCGGCTCTGCAACCGCGCAACGTACCGTTGTGCGGTCTGCGTCATAGTGTTGCTTCCTGCACCTTCCATCGCTGTTAGCAGAAGTAACAAACTTCACCATACAAAGTTGCTAGCAGAGTTACTAGTATATCCAATAGTAAATGCCTCCGTTTAAACGAGGATAAGGGGTGTCTCACCGGGACCACCAATTCCTCCCAGGCCTTCGAGGATTCCCTGGCGCCGGTTAGCTCCAAACAGGCGGTCCAACAAGCTGAAACATCCCAGGCATGTCATCACATTACCACGTCAGTGATGCCCCTGTGTCTTGATGGCCTTTTGGATTGCGGACAATTCTTGGTAACGTTTTATTTCAATTCTAACTGAACTTGGATCTCGACAAGTTGGCCCATATAAATTGAAATATACACATTGGACGCTAGATGGGCAAGACTTTTCAAGATTTTGGTCTTTAGATTCTGACGAACTTTGATGTGCCAATCACCAAAAGCCATTTCGAAACGCAGCACATCCTTTAAACAGGCTCTTTATGCTGATATCTGAATGTTTTCCTGCTCTGCCAACAGATGGCGGTGGTGCTGGTGAGTTGCTATTTCATCTCCACGGCGATGTACCTCCATTTTGTACCTCACCCACACTACTTTAATACTTTTGTATGCATCTCGACTATTACACAGACGTTATCGCCCAACACATGTCGCCCGAGAAGGGCGTCCACATCGGAGGTGGAGTAACGCCGACACCTCCACCACAATGCACCTCCGAGAAGGCACGGTAATACCATTTAAAAGCACATTCTGTCATGAGATGCTCAGCAACAGCGGTCGTATTTCCGATAACCCTGCGACGATAAATTAGGCACCGAAGTGCGACAGTGCACAAAGTGACTCACCCGCTATGCTTGGCCGTCTTGTAGTGGTTGCGATTGTAGTTGTCGAAGGCGTCGGGTGCCCGCTGGACCGAGAAAGGATAGAAGCCTCCATTGGCAGCCACGGCGGCTGACAGAGCCAGCACAATGCAGAAGATCGCCTTCATTTCGGAATCTGGAAGTGCAGTCGGCCAATTAAAACGATGCTGATTGAGGAAGAGCTGGGACAACGCCGCTGCAGTGCAACTGAACTAAGTCGTCTCGGCACATGTGTGCGGTCTGGTTTACTCAGGGCAGTGCTAATAGCCCAACATGCATCGTAAAACTAATTGGTTTCCGGTACGGTATGCGCAAAAAAGCAGTGTCCGTGGATGACCTCTGCACTTTGTGACACCGTTATGATCGTTAAATGTTTTCCACATCCGTGTGTCAGCGTAGGTGACACTGACAGCGGCGCGTCAGCCCAGAGGCCTGCGGTCCAGGACGCCTCAGTATTAGAGCGGCGCCTTACGTGACAGAATGACGCTCAGTCCAGGTCATACCACGGCGGCTGACGCCAGCTCACCATGCCACGGCGGCTGACGCCAGCTCACCATGCCACGGCGACTGACGCCAGGTCACCATACCACGGTGGCTGACGCCAGCTCACCATGCCACGGTGACTGACGCCAACTCACCATGCCACAGCGGCTGACGCCAGCTCACCATGCCACGGCGGCTGGCGCCCGCTCAGAGCACCTGGCCAGACCACGCCGCCACCATCCGGCAGTGTCAGCGGCGCACGGGCGTACGGCGCGCGCCGTACACCACACTGCCGAGCGAGCGGGGTTGACAAAGCCGGACGCGGGTTAGCGTCACCTGCCGACGCCGCTCCGCCTCCTCACCTGCGTTCTTGCCTGACCGCGATGAGATTTAACCCCTAGTGTGGGGAAGGAGCTGCGCATGCCCGCTTATATACCCGGTGCCAACCAACTGACACACTTCTAGCACCCCTTGCCTCGGCTTTCGATTCGAGCATGTCCTTTGCCTGGCGCATAGCAAGGCTGCATAGTTGTGAGCAGCGCCAGGCGTAGTTGGGAACAGAGAACTGGCAAGCCTTGTGGTAGTGTTTAGAGGACAAGCCTCAAAAATCTTCTCGCATACATGCTAGCTAGATTAAGGGCACGGGAACACATTTCTTTTACATTTATTTCTATAACAATCAATAACTGCGATCTTTCAATCAGAACAAACATGAACGGCTGAGTGTGTTCGTCGTGCTGCATCCTTTGATGTTCAGATTTCCCTTCTTCAGTTGCAATCGGTCTTGTTCTATTTGTGTGATTGGAACTTTGCTAATTTATAATTCGATCTGAGCGTTGGTCCCAGTGCGAAATCACTTTACTTTTGAGATAGCTAGATTACGCTGTAACACAACGAAGCTGATGACCAGATGACAACCTGAGCGAAAAGGTCACTGTCCGCTTACAGATCGGCGCCGAATCTCAATTACCGCCGAACAATTACCGCCGGCTGAGACCAGTCTTGAGTAGTACAACTTAGTTATAGATATTTGTCGGTAGGTTGTTGGTCTAATGCCTCTTCCAAGGACACCAACGGAAGTACGGGCTATGCCGCGGGTCACGTGGTATGGCTGCGCAATATGGCAGCCGCCCTAAATCTGCTTCGTTTCCTTACCTCTAATAATTCGTCGGAAGCGCGCTTTACCGGCTGCGAAGTAGACCAGCATCTGTGCAAGATTGCCAACTTTTATTTGACGGTGACAAGGATTATATTCAGAGTATCGTTTTGTGTCTACGTTTATATTTTTCGGTGACTCTACAGCTAGCTTGCAAGAACAACGGGACGCAGTGCTTTGGGCATCAAAGTTCAGGCCACTAGAACTACTTTGTCGAAAATGCATGGGATGGAAGCGATAGAAAGAGGGCGAACATTTTCCAAACATGTTCTGTTCGCTCTGCTTGATTGTTGCAGTGTATTTTTTATAAGTAGTTTGGGCGTTACACAGAGTCGCCCCAAGGTCATAAGATCGCTATGTGCTCCATCGGCTTAAGATCATATTTCTTTGAGTACCGCGACTTCTCGAGCGCAGGCAAAACGCAGCTGAGCACACGAGCGTACGCCCCACCCCGTCCTCCCTCTCCTATTGCCGCCTTACCCTCCTACAGTGACATGGATGTGTACGAAATATCACATCGTGCCAATGATCCTTGAAGAATCTTGAAAAACGTCATCTTTTCAGACGACATTTTTGCTTTTTGACGGACGACAGAGGACAACATTGCTTTTTCAGTTTTTTCGGGGGGGGAAATTTCAGGTTGCTTTTTTCGCGCAGCTCTCAGATACCAAAGAAAAACATGAAGGCATAGAAACCTAAATGCTCCCTTCTTTTTCACTTGGGAAAACGAGGCTCAAATAAGGAGATCACGTGCATGAGGACTTAGATTAAGACTCAATCACATTCACTTCGTACATTTAAACTTATTTAATGTTAACGGTACCCCAGCTTGATCAAGCCCGTGCCCACTCCTCCCCTCAAAAGATTTTGTGAAACTAGAGCACTCATGGAAATCTATGCTCATAAACATGATTAGACATTGAACACATTGCTGGATATCCGTTCACGAAGCACCAGGATCTAAACCATCTTAATTAAACAAATGGCCTGCATTCCAAGTGTATTTCATGTACCTTGCATGAGGACTGACGTAAAACCGGGATCCCAAGTTATCCCACGAGAATATACACTGCACGGGATTCGGATCGGTTGGTTGGTTGGTTATCTGGGCCTGAGGGCACATCGACTGCACGTCATGCAGTGGCCATGGATGCAGACATGCCTCACAGTTCATACACTGGCACCTCCCCTTAATTCTTGGAATTACGTCGGTTGTAATCTTTTAATGACCAAGTCATTAAATACGATATCGCACCGTGCCGAGCGTCACTGTCTTATCATTGCGATGGTCCAGTGGTCTGCGTACAATAATACCGGCTTAACATTTAAAGACATACAAATTGTGTACGTTGATATGAACAAAATCATCAGCATTAACATGCCATGGAAGTGTATTTCTACCGACAGCACACACGTAAGCAGATACGACGCATTCTGTCCAAATCAGGTATGACTCATCCTGTCCAAAGAACTTTTCACAAACGCAGTAAGACAATATTCACATGCTGTACAGCCACAAAGGAGACCGCACCAAGCACGGCGATGTACAGCTTCCCGTCCTCAGGCGCACAACTACTACCAAATACTTCTACCAAACTACCAAATAAACTGCCAAAATCTTGTTCAAACTACCAAATACGTCACCATGAGACCATCAAACCCATCTTCAAACACCATCATCACACATCATCGCACCAAGGCATCACCGCATCCACATCCACAAGCCAGATAAAGACCGCGCAATGTTTAACGGGACTCCATCCCAGCCCTGCGCGCGGCAGCAGCCCGAGCCGGGCCGGTATTCGGGACCGGCATGTAGCGGACGGCTGGGTGCCCCAAGGCGAGCATTGTCGGTTCCTGCGCACGCCATCTCTATTCTTCAATACCATGCAAACACTATATAGATATCTTGCACACTTCCCCAAACACATCCGAACTGAAATGCGTGTAAACTCTGCATTTGGAACGACTAGAAAGGCCTCAGAAAGCGAAGCCCAGTATCCTTTAACCATATCTACATACTGAAAGGCCTGGATACTTCCACAAAGAGCTATCTGATGTACATGCAGTAATCAAAGCGCTGAAATGAGAGAAAACAATCTGCCTAACAACACTTCTATGGCGGGTTGTCTGTTTGTTTAACTATGAAGCTTGCCGTTTCATGATATCAACTTGACATGACATGTTCAACGACCCAGCGCACGGGTTTGCTAGACGAAGTCCTGCAGGCAGTGTGGCGCTGCAGCACAACGCTGTCCCACACCCCGCAGGTACTGGTGGTCAACCCTTCCGACCTCCGGAGAACGACCGGCGAGTACAAGCCGCCGTCCACGAAGTGGACTGCTCTTCCGTCTCTCCGGCCGGAGGACAGGGATGGTAGCCAAATGTTTCCGCTGACCTAGTTGACGTTGCGCGTAGATCTGGCTCTGGCGGAGGGGGGGGGGGGGGAGGGACAGCAACGGAGGACGTTGCGGCACACCAGTCAGTCATGAATGCCGACAGCGCCTCGTCCCATGTCAGGCCTTGCTCAGGATGACCGTTCATATCCTGAAGAATGGACTCCTGCATGTTGTCCAAGAGATCCAACAGAATATTGCGTGCACCGGCCTTTGCCTCAGCCACAGGCGGGGGAGACTGCGGATCACCGCGGGCGCCGACAGATTTGACGGTCCCACGTGATGAGAGATTCACGAAGACGGTCTCACGTGACGGGAGATTCACGAAGTCATTGCCATCGCTATCGTCATATATCGCTATCATATATATCATATCATCATATCAGTATCCTATCATAGCATAGCTTATCATATCATATCACATCAAGCTTACCATATAATTATCATATCATATCATTATCATATCATATCATCATATATCGCTATCGTCATATCATCATCTGCGCATATCGAAGCCATTGTCATCGCCATTGTTATCTGGGTCTTCCACGAGGCTGAACGACTGACATCTCGGTGGCCTCTCCGGACGGCCCTGGCATCGGCTCTATGACGGGGATGGCATCTGCCCTCAGGGTGGCAAATCATCCAAATGGCGTATCACGTCATCCTGCCAAGACAGAATAGTCCGGTTACCTTTCGGAAATAGGCAGATTTCATGGAAAGAAGGTAATCCGCGTCCTCTCAAAATGGCGTGTAATTTACAGAGACTACGGTGTTGGGTTTGATCAACTATTACAAGGCACCGTACTCATTCCTTATTTTGATATCTCTTTATTGCCCGGGCCTGCAGAGATTTGGAATACTTCCTATATTTCTGTCCACCGTGTAGTGGCTGGGTCTATGTCTTAAATAGGCATGTGAGGCCATGACTGTTCCTTTGGAAGCATCTTAAAAGCGTTCTAAAGCAATGAGCATCGCAACATGTTGGAATTTTTGTAAACTAATGCACGGAAAACTATTTAATGGTAGTCAAAAATATTTGATGAGTTAAGCACAGTCAGTATTATGAAACATCAATACTATCACTGTTTGTATTCATTTAAGATGATCAGCAGAAATTCACTGCATCATGCTTCATAGAATATGTAGATGCTGGAGAATAGCCCTGACATGTTCTGTCCTGCTGCATAAGTATTCAGCTAGTTTTTTTGTGCGAGCAGCTTGTTTTGGATGGAGCAGGCAGTGCGATCAATGTGGAAACACATTGCAAAAGCGCACATTATGCCTGACATGTCTGGTGTATGGGTACACCATGTATGGTGTGCCAGTGATATCATGATAATTTCAGCACATAATCTGTAAATCCAAGAGCTCACGGTTTGGCAGACCGATGCCACCAGTGCCAAAGATTTCAGTGTCGATGTCTCAAGGAATTATGATGTTTCAAAGATAACTTCAAGCAAACATGCCCAAAAAGCATTTCTTTAAGCTTAAATAATTCGAAAATTCGGTGCAATCTGGCCTGGAAATAGTTTCACACACATGAGCATGAGGATCGGTGCACAAATTTCTTGTAGGTGTCCTGTGCAGTGGATGAAATCTTTTTTTGCAAACTGAATGTAAACCTTACGCGTGATAATGGCCTCAGTTCATAACCATATACATCACGTTTCATCACTGATCTTGGTACACTTCTTTGCGATGCTCACTAGCCGACCAATCAAAACAATCACCTTTTGATCACTGTAATATACCATTCCATCATATCCTTCAATGATATTTGATATGAGGAAGAGACATCAGCATGATGGAAAACCCATTCATCATTTACCCAACAGCTCCCTAGATTCTT